ACTGTCTGTATTACTCACATTCTAATGAGTGGTACTTGCGCTAGACAAAAAGATAATGGACAGTGCCAAGTAATAATATTTCTGTGCAATGGATACTTTAGTCCTTCGATCAGCTGTTGCTTTACCGCCATGCTTCTTTTTTTGCCCCATTTTTGATTTATTTGTTTACAGACATTTGATCTTTTTCGTGATGTTGCTACTACTGAGGCAAAAAGGCAATTGGTGGGCCAGTATAAAGTAAGGAAGAAAAATGACTCAAAATTAATCGAGATCTATGTTTTACCGTTTACTCACGTTGATCCAGGTGAAAACTGAACTGTAATTTTCTTTTTGGTTTTTTACGTTTTTAGCTACTTCTACACCACTAGCAGTTTGTCGCTAAACAAAATTTAAAAAAGAAAGCTATCAACAATCTTATCAGCGTGTGGTTGCTGTTGACGTACATCAGTACAGATTACTTGCAAGTACCTGCGTCTTTCCTAGCGAGAGTAAATTTGGAAAGGTTTTTTATCAGCGTCGAATTACCAGAAATGCTATTCCCTCTTCCCTCATATGGATCTTTGCCCTAGGTCATCTGCCGCCCGTCCTCATCACTCAAATCTCGGCCATTTCGCATCGTTGAAAAAAATTCGGTAGCCCGAGTAGCAGTCTTCTTTCACGCAAAAACCACCTGCTGATGCATTTCATCCACAGATATCAACAAATACAGCATCACATCAAGGATGCAGGACTTTGCTTTCACTCGAAATCATAGCCACATCGGGAACACTACGTATTTTGAAGAAATCGTTTTTTTTTTTTTTTTCAAAATATGATATCGGAAACACAACAAGCTTCCGCAAAATCATCATTCTTGTCAAGCGCCCATTCCCTATCACTTTCCAAGCTGTCCTCGTTCCCCCTCCCCCCTTCCACGGCCTTTTCCCTTCCCTTCGTCCTCGACGCTATGTATAGGATTGCAAACTAAAGCAGTTTTAAATCAGCTCAGATTCCAGCCTCACTTCAAACTCCAAAAACTTAAAGACCAATCTGTATAGATTCTCAAAAATTTAGAAGAAATTTTAGTGCTAAATTTCAGGTTGGCTCAAAACTTTTAGCGCTTATTCCTCTGAAACAAATGCCATATTGGACAACATGGTAGTTTTCTTGAAAGATCATCCAAAAATGCGCTTTATGTGGTGTGAAATTGCATTTTTCGAACTATGGTGGTCGGCACAAAATGACAGTACCAAAACGCTTGTTAAAAAGTATCATATCTTTTGCTTAATTATACAAACGTAGTTAGCACGTCGCTGAGGTCAAGGTGAACCATTCTATCCATTGCAATCTTTGCTAGTCTGTTTTGAAAAATTTTAATAAATATCGATGCTCATCAGAGTGGCCGGTGCGATCATCCGATTTGAGCAGTCCCGGAATTTTTACTTTCTACAATTTGGCGTGCGCAAAAATAGTCAAAGTGTTGTTTGGTTCCTAAGTTGTTAAATTTCCCACTAAGAAATTCATATGCTCAAGTGAGTAAATCCTCTCTCTAAAACTTTCACGTGACAGTATGTGGCAGTTGAAGGTGAATGAAAAGTCTGAATTAAGTTTTGTGAGGTCGCATGTGGACAGAGAGGCGAGGTGGCCCTTTTTTTTTGCATTATTTTAGCTCGTTCATGCTGCGCTTGCCAGCAAATTGAACATTTCTAGAAATGTTTGACAGTTTGGCATTTTTATTTCCAGTTCTTGAGCGATTTGCAATATTTGGAACACATAATGGATTTCAACAGTTGATGATATAAAAGATATTGAATTCCGATTATCATTTCATTTATATCAAATTTTTTAAGGTTTGTTTCCACTGGTCAGTTGGAAATTGCAAGCGGCTCTTGGGTGATGACCGACGAAGCAACACCTTTTTTCCCGTCTACCGTTGATAATATTATAGAAGGGCAGCAATTCATTTACAATGAACTGGGTAAGAGTTTCAGTCGTCATGGATTTCTAGACTTTCTTGTGTGACATCCTTTGGTGCCACTGAGGGAAAACTACTGTGCCTTCGATTTGGAGCATTATGGTAACGCATCATGTACGATCATAAATGAAGCTATCGTCTACTCGGTTTCTAAACCTCGATTAAAAGAATGTTCTAAAAGAAATTAATTTGCTAATCTCATCAGCAGAAAAATTCCAGCGTTACTGTAGAATTCACAGTTCTGTAAAATTCGGCTCTCTTACATTTTCAGACTCAGAAACACTGCAATTTGTTTATTACACGTTGTTTCATCGTTATGTTTCTTCTCGCCATTGATGCATCTAGTTTGCTGTTCTTTTCTATTTTGGATTTCTCGCATCCACATGATAGCCAATTCGAACTGTTCCTTCTGTTACACTGGCTGCCTTCCTTGCACCTTTTTTCATCGTGTGGGTATCATTCAGTGAATTTTGTTGGGTTTTGTATTTCTGTTGTCTCTCATTCTTGCCATATGACTAGCTCAGTTCTTCTTCCTAGCGTACATTGCTTTGATACTCTTTCACATCAGACCGAAACCACAGTACTACATTTGGTGATGTGCTGCAACTTGCTGAAACCTCTAGTCTGTCGTTCCTTGACCCGCAGCTAATTTTCCTCTCCAGCTAGGACCAAATGAAAAATGCAAATAGTATATTGAATCATATGAAAAATGCTTGTTAAGCACAATGAGCAAGCAGTTTTGAATAGAGTGTCGAATTAGTTTAGAGTGGTGCTAAGTTATAAATGATTTATTTAGATGTGCTTGCTCAAGTTATGTGGTCCAATGATCCGTTTGGTTATGGGCCATCAGTGCCTTATCTGTTCACCAAGACTGGCATACATCGGGCAGTCATAAACAGGGTACATCATGGCTTGAAAACTTTGCTTCATCAACATCGAGCTATACCCTTCCGATGGAGACAGCATTTCGGTTCGATTTTGTAATTTTCATTTAAATAATGCGTTTTTTTATGCGTTTTTGCTATGTAACACTATAGCAGCGCTAGTGCTGCACAGCAAAAACGCATAAAAAAACGCTGTAGCGCTGCTACAGCCGGCAAAAACGCATACTGTCGAGAGGCTGTCTGTGTGTGTATGTGTTCAGAAGCGAGTGCATTTTATCGCCCACTTTCATCTCAGCAACCAGGAAAGCTGGGAGACTGAAAATTTGGATATATGCTCCCCTGTGTCATCCTCCCGTTTAAGATCTTTCCCCATACGCGCCTAGACTCCGCGTATGAGACTCCCACGCGAATCAGGCAAGATAAAAAGCTGAAACTTCGCGGGATATTCTTTATGCAAGTGCGAGCCAAGGATTTTAAACTCAGCTGTCGAGCGCCCCAACCAGAGCCTCGAGCAACTCTCCAACCCAAAAATCGTTAGCAACCCAGGCCCGAACCCAATCGCATATGTAAATGAACATGGATTTCTTGACAAACGACCGCTCGAGCAGTGCTTCCACTTTTTAACGAACTGGAAATTTGCATTTTTTCAAAAAAAGCGAGCATTTTTCAAAAAGCTAGCATTTACCGAAAAAATGACCGGACTTCATGAAAAAAACCGGCAATCATGCACGATCGCACCGGATAGCCTGGTGCTTTCCAGTCTGGGTTTAAAATAACGACAACTTCCTAAATCCTTCTTTTTAGCAGCCGTATTTATGTGGTGTTATGTTTTTGAAGCATAAGTAATGGTATGAATTGCAGTCTGATCGGAGTAGTCTGGTTTTGAAAATCTGTTAGTGTTATCATACACACTATTTTGGCTCCTCACAAACTAATATCACCACCCTTTCGCTTTTATCTTGTTTGCAGTCCTTTCTTCTCTTGGTTCGCATCTAAAAGGATTTACTGAATTTTGCTGAAAATTTACTGAAATTGCGTAGTGAGAAGAGAGTATGTTCTGGCAGTACAATAAAATAATACCGGGTCCCAGTACACGAAAGTGGTGTGAAGAGTTTTAAACTAACAGTGGCAACAGATCTGCAGCAGTGGCAGTAGATTAAGCTAGCAGGAGAAATGTGTGGCAGCAGATATTTTGAGATCGAAATAACTACTGGAGAAGAAAAGCCGAGGCTAACAAGTTCAGGTGCCTTCGTACAGTTCCAAGATGCTGACTTGACATTAATTTTGAAGACCCTTGAATAGACCAGAAATTTTCAGATACTAATGGAACTGATGAAATGTACACACATGTTTTACCGTACAATCACTACGACATCCTAAACAGTTGTGGACCAGATCAAGGTGTTTGCTGCCAATTTGATTTCAAACGAATCACCCATTTCTCTTGTCCTGGGCCTTCACCTGTCTCAATTACTAAAAATAACGTCAAAAAAAAGCAAGTTTCTTTTTTCACTCATTTTACTGATTAAGCTAAAACTTTTGCTATCTCTAGCTAGTAAATTCCAGAAAGTGTGAAAGCTTTCTTTACGGTGTAAGAAGATGATAGACTCATTAGTGAGGAGAAGGAAAAATACGAAAAACTGACCAAAAGGGGCGAAAATTATTCAGTGGAGATGGCCGACGCAAAATCCAAATTGTTAAAACGTTGCTTGTTGCGTATAAAACTAAGTAAGAGGATTTAGGCTAAGTGAATGATTGCTAAAGCCACACACTTCAAAAAATCCGGAAAATAAGCTTGCGAGAAGTTAATCTGGAGTTAATCTGTCAAAAAAAACACCGCTCTCTCAAAGAATAGAACCAAATTTAGAAATGCTCAATAATATTTTCTTGGTGGAAACCCTGCTGCACTTTTTTTTCGCTAAAGACAAAAACATACGAATGCGAAACATGATCACTAGCTGGAAAACGAACAGCGAATTAATGAAGCGAAAAGTACACGGAATGTGATTCTGCAGCAAATTCGACAAACAAATGCTAAGAAAATTACAGTGCAGGATAACAGACAGATAAACCCAGGCCAGGGCGCACTAGTCATGCTGATGCGATTAAGCTCTTTTGCACAAAACTTGAAGCAAGCAGGTAGCCTCTTCATTATATGGATGGTAGCTTATGGTGGTTTCTTCACTTAATTATACGGATGGTAGCTTTTTCACAGTTACCCTGTACGTCCACTAGTGTAAATCATCGTAAATTCTGCATGAAAGAAAATGAACAATTTCCGTTTAACGATCGTTCTTTGAAAATGACCTAGCTATCCAGTGAGGGGCAATTTGAGCTCTCGATAAGCTATCATTTCGAAATCGTTATTCTTGCTGCGGATGCAAACTAGCTAATGTGCCCTTCTCCTCTACTTTG